ATACCAATATGACCAAGTTGCGAAAACAAGGTCAAACAACTTCTATTTACTTTATACTTTTCAAGAACCAACTCCATTTCTGACGATGTCTGTCATATGGAGGACGAAATCTTGGCCCGTTTTTAACCAAAATGAGGGAAGATGTCTCGTGGACTGTCAAGCGAGACGGCTGTTGAACAACGGTAATTAGACCTCGTCTTCCAGTGGAATCGACCAGTAAGTCACTTTGCCACGGGTTTATCTGACGGCCGAGAACTTGTTCGCACAATCGAACCGCCTTCCCACAAATACCCGAAATCTTTCCAACTAACTCCCATTCGGCATGAAGGCCTATTTAGGTTGGCTTCAAAACTCGGCTTTTCGTCATACCTACAAAAAGCAATTGCCCACCTGCCGACTGACGAGAACACTGACGGTCAAGAGACCGGCCGTGAGCCAAGCGATCACATGCTGCCTGGCCAGACATGCAAATCCCGTGTCTTCTCGAGGGTAGATCTGGCGAACGAGCACTCCGCCAATCTGGTAGAAGGCTTTGTTGGCGCCACCGACGGACACCGAAATACTGCTGGTCATAGCAGCCAGCGGCCCTGGCCGATAGAAATGTGGCTCCCGCGGTTCCATCGGTTCGTCCATCGAACAAGGCCAATGGCAGAAGCAACAAGACCCAGCATCCGGTCGCGATGATGGCGGACAACAGATCCACGCACAAGCACCCCGTTTGCTTGACGCCTCGTCGACACCCTCGGCTCGTCGAGCCACATGAGACGCCGGTATCGAGGCCCAACGCACTGTCTGAGGCCGGTCTCGAACTCGCAGTCGACCGACGTGGCGCATGCTGGACGAGACGCCAAAGGCGACGGCTAACAGGAGCCACCAGATCCAGGCGGCCGTCGTGAAGAAGTATTGCACCAAAAAGGTGAGTGCACATACAGAATTGTCCAACCCCTCCTGAAGCCGAATGTCCCGACCAGAGGTCGGCTCCCGAGCGCAGGTGACCATGTCGCGGCCCAATCCGGTGGCCAGAAGAAGAGCAGTCGCCTCGGCCAGTTGGCAACCGGCCAAGTAGACAACCGGACGTTCTCGTGTCGAGAAGAAGCGAATGCCAAGGCAATAGTTGGTGAGGCTGAAGACTCCGGCCACGAGGCCGACGATCGCCAGCACCAGTGTCCATGTGGCCGCGAGCCGTTTGGTGGGTCGCGAGAACAGCAAGTCAGCTCGACATAGAGGAGCGCATCTGCCGGTCCGATTGATAAAAACGTAGGACAACGGCTGTCTGAGATGGCCGCAATGGCGCAACGACTTGGCCAGTTGGGCCAATGCATTGGGCGGCTGATCGGCTTCGCCCGACAAAAAGACCGGCCTCGCGTCCGGCGGCAGTTTGGTCACTTTGCGTAACCACTTCTGCAGGCTTGAGCGCAACTCCGAGGTCGCATCTGCCGATACCGACAAAGATGAAGAGGATAGAGACGTGGCGCCAGACTCGTGACCCGCCTCCTCGCGCCCCTCGACAGCCGGGGGCCTTTGGACCGGCCTGGCGTCCTCTTCTGTGTTCCGAGGTCCGTCCATGCACATGACACCGTTGTCGCTGTTCTTCATTGGGAACCGGGAGCAGTTGAGGCTCTCGGGCCAGGGCAGATTGAACGTCTTCATGACAGGAAAACAGCGCTCATAGACGTGTTGACACAACGGTCGACAGGGCCCGATCAAATGCAACGTGTTCGCGTCGCACATTGGCGTGTGGACAGAGCAGAGGAAGAATCTCAACTTCTCCGAGCATCGATAGTTGATGAGGGGGTCGAACATCTGCATTTGATGCCGCGCGTCGTCCTGTGACTCCTGACCGACAAGATTGGGCATGCCCGTAAAACTGTAGAAGCTGTTTTTGCACTCATCTATGACAATTGTTAGTGGGTTCTCACATCGGTACACCTTCACCGGTCCGTGAACACGATCGTGCAGAGTCGAAGCAACACATGAGCATATCCAACTCGCACAAAACAGCAAGGCCACAGTCCCTACCGTCCCACGCGGACCCATTATGCCGAGTCACTGGAGCTGGGAGTACGAAGAGGGCTTCAGCCAGCCGATAGATCCCATTACATCCGCAGGTGGAACAATTCGGTGTTCAGTTGGCCTCGCCTAGTTGGTTCATGAGACGGGGTAGAATGAGAATTGGTAATTCTCATGCGTCATTGTTTTGCTCCCTTCTCATTGGCTTACTCGTTGGCCACCAATCCGATATGAGAAGTCTGGATGGCCAAAAAGCTGTATTCTGATTGGCTAAATTCAGCAGACATTACGGCACTTGGAGGTTTCCCGGCTTGCCCTACAAAAACAGATGGAACGTGAATCTACTAATATGCCATTCTTGATATTCAGATTGAGTGGTTTTCGAAACTACCAACAGATCTTGGCGATTCACCATAGATCGGGTAGGGTTACATTTTCCCACAAGGGTTGAAATAGATGACGACCTTGTTTGGGTATCATCCAAACTATAAAAGGAAATTGTTGAGATGACTATCATTGTGCGTGAAAGTGTGCAATCAGCAAGATGTAAACGCAAAGTCGTAATGGTTATACTTCTGCTCGTTTAAGATTACGATAAAAGATTTTCGTAAAATTATGATTGTTTGCAAGGCCAAGTTGAAGGGATTAATAAATTAGCGCTATCAAAAAACGATGGAAGCTAGATTTGATCACATCGAAAGAAGGTTTCAATGCAACCAGTCAAACTTGATTACTTAAGGGAATTTAAGAGTTGACATTGGCGTAGCTTTCATTTCGTTTGAGGAGACGTGCTGAAGGGATTCGTAGATTGACCTCATCGCAAACCGCGGAAGTGTGGTATTGCATCTTGGTCTGTTGAATTGTCCGAAGAAGACCCCGGCTCACCGTCCTACGACCACGATTACCTCGTGCTTAGCCTTCGTCCGTCATGTGACGGACATTGTGGGGGCCAAAACCTATTATTCACGAAATAATCACCAATTAAACACGAAACTATGAAAGGTGACCAGCTGGGATTCTACTTACTTCTTATACCTCACCTTGCGATCTTAATGAGGCATTTCATGATTTTCTTGGTTGCTTTATGCTTGTCCTACATTCATGTAGGAGGGTCAAAGTGATGCAGGAAGGGGAGCGGATGTGTTCACACTTTTGTATATGTAAATAAATTAGAGTATCTTCCAGTAGTCCTGGGTCTTATTACGGATTTGTGGGTGCGTGTTTGTGTGTGTCTACAACAATCACGATTTGGTTGACAATTTATGTGTAAAATAACCTCCTTGTTAGTCTAGTCTTCTCCCCTTACTTATTGGGATTACTTCCATTTCGAGTAGAAGTGTTGGGTGAAGAGATTCGAAGGTCGATTCCACCAGAAGACG